ACCCTGTACAGGATTTCCAAGGAGCAACTGGTGAGTTCAAACCATCGAACTTGCAGTCCAATTCTTGTGGATAGCAAGAGGAAATTGCTGGGAATGTGCAAATACCTTGAAACAGATAGTTGTACCTCCTTCTTGGAGGTATAAGGTTGATCTAGGGGGAGCATAGAATAGCCACTGCCTTCTTTCAAAAAAAAATTGAAACCAAACTCAGTGCAATCAAGTCAATTCCAACTCATAGAAACCCTTTAGGACAGATGAGAACTATGTTTTAGGATTTACATAGACGGTGGATCTTTATGGAAGCTGACAGCCTCATCGTTCCCTGAAGAGCAGTTGGGAATTTTAACCTCTAACCTTGCGGTTAGCAGTCTAATGCTTAATCCACTGTGTCATGAGGGATTCTCTAGCTTCTTTTCAAACCCACTGCTATCAAGTCATTTATAGTGGCCCTGTATAGGATTTCTGGGAGTCCTGGTGGGGCACAGCAGGATAATGCACTGGGCCGAAAGGTCAGTTTGAACTTCAAGATCGGTGGTTCAAACCTACCAGCTGCTCCTCAAAAACCCTATGCAGGGTTGCTGTGAGTCAAAACTGACTTGACAGCACTTAGCAACAGCAACAAATCGGATTTCTGAGACTGCCGTCTTTATGGGAACAGATAGCCTCATCTTTTCCTGAAGAGCATTTGGTGGGTTTGAACTGCCAACTTTGTGGTTAGCAGTCCAACTACTAACCCACAGCATCACCAAGACTCCTATCTGCCTTCTTTTAGACCACTAGAGTTTCTCCCTTTGTTCTGGGACTAGATCCCACTTGAAGTATGCTGGTGGTAAGGGGATCGTGTTTCTGAGGATTAGTAGGAAATATCCTCTAACAATACGAAAGAGTTCCTTGTTGAGCAAATGTCATTGTTGTTATTAAATGCCTTCAAGTCAGTTCTGACTCATAGCAACTCTGTATAGGGTTTCCCAAGGAGCGACTGGTGAGTTTGAACCTCTGACCTTGTGGTTCAAATCAACCTTGCAATCCAGTGCTTTATCCCACGGTGCCACACTAGGACTCATAGTGAGCACAAAACAAAACATAGCCTCAGGGTTTATTTGTCATGTCAAAATAGAAGAACAAATGTTCTTTGACTTTTGTATATAAAACCCCAAACCTACTGCCACTGAATTGATTCTGACTCATAAAAAGACTGTACAGGGGTTCTGAGGTTATCTTTATAGGTGTAGAAAGCCTCATCTTTCTTCCATGCAGGGGCTGATGAGTTTGAACTCCCGACCTTGCAGTTAGCAGTTCAGTGTTTATCCTATACCACCATCAGACCTCCCTATACATATATAGGAATTATTGTTTGTTGTTAAGTGCCATTGAATGGGTTCTGACTCCTAGCGACCTGCATAAGACTTCTAAGGAGCGAATGGTGGGCTTGAATCATGTGGCCCTGAAGGATAAGCACTGAACTGCAAACCACAAGGCTGGCAGTTCAAACCCACCATCTGCTTCTCAGAAACCCTGTTAGCTGTGAGTCAGAACCAACTTGATGGAATTAACATCACCACCTAGTAGTTAGCTGTCCAGGGCTTATCCTACAATAATGCACCCTTTCCCCCCACTCAGGGTACTCAAAAACTCAACCAGACTCAACATGAAAATGATTCATATGCCAAGGAAAAGCCATTCAAATCCACTTTGAAATTTACTGTCTGCTCTCCAGATTCAAGTAAGAAGTTTTCATTTGTAAAAATATTTGTTTCAACTAGATTGTTTCCTGCTTTTCCTGTCACTTGTTTAATGTTTATAAAATTCGAAACAGAATAACCTAGTGTTTTAAATACTTTGGTAAAACAAAGCACATACAAAATGATTATATGATAGAAGTTTTAGTATTTTTTTTTAATCTTTAATGGTATGGAAAATCAAAAAGGAGATCTAACCTAAACTCGAGCTGTTTGATATTTTTTAGAACTCTCATTGTCGTAAAAGGACCAGGGGACATATGTATGATAATGTTGTTGTTGTTGTTGTTAGGTGCCATCAAGTCGGTACCGACTCATAGCGACCTTATGCACAACAGAATGAAACACTGTCCAATCCTGGGCCAACCTCACTACTGTTGCCAAACTTGAGTCCATCGATGCTGCCACTTGGCAAATCCATCTCGCTGGGGGTCTTCCTCTTTTTCTCTGACCCTCCACCTTACCAAACATGATATCCTTCTGCAGGGACTGGTCCCTCCTGACAATATGTCCAAAGTATGAGAGACGAACTTTGGCCATCCTGGCTTCCAAGGAGCACTGTGGCTGCACTTCTTCCAAAATGGATCTGTTTGTTCTTTTGTTTGATAATAGGGGCAACAAAAAACTTTCATAGTAGAAAATGGGACCTTTTACAGTTCTTTTCCCCCTTTACCTTCTTTTAGGAACAGATTCTATTAAAAATACATCCCTGATTGAGTCAGCTGCTGCTTTTTCATCCAAACCAACACCAAAATGCTTGCTGGAGAAAATTGACGTTATTACAGGAGAGGAAGCAGAACATAACGTGTTAAAGGTTTGTAAATCATGCATTTCTCTTACTGTTGTTGTTGTTAAGTGCCATCAAGTCAGTTCCAACTCGTAGTGACCCACCCTGTATCTATGTTTTCTGAGGAGCAGCTGGTGAGTTCAAACTGCTGACCTTGCAGTTCAAACTGACCGTTCAGTCTAGTGCTTATCTTACAACCCACATCAAGACTCCTTTTCTCCTACTGTCGCTGTTAAGTGCCGTAAGTCAGTTCCAAGTCATAAGGACCCTGTATAGGGTTTCCAAGGAGCGGCTCATGAACTTGAACCGCCAACCTTGTGAATCAACACAACTTTGCGGTCTAGTGCATTATCCTTCAATGCCATACTGCATGGACTAAAGTTATCATCATCAGGGACATCTTTTAAAATTAAGACAGAAGTACAGTTTGGCGCTGTAGGATAAGCACTGAACCACGAGGCCGGTTTGAACCTCAAGGTCAGCAGTTCAAACTTATCAGCCACTCCTTGAAAACTCTATACAGGGTCACTATGAGTCACAACCAACTAAAGGACACTTAACAAGTTGCTTAATTAAGAATGTTGGGGCCTTACAAATACTGAATCAATCTTTTGTTGTTTTTTAATGTTGTGTGTGCAATTTGCAGTGCATTGAGTTGCTGTTAGCTGCTATTATTTGCATTAGTCCCTGAGGAAGAAAGCCAAGCACCCTATCTTAAAATAAACCTCAGATCTGTTTTATACTTTGCCTACCTGCTCTTATCACAGTATTTAAAATTTCTCATTATGTAGGCATTTTTAAATGTTGGTAATGTGACTTGGTTTCAGTTCAAGATAATACAATTTTTTCCTTCATAAAAGTATTTAATATAAATCTGGAATTGCACATAATAAAAAATTTCATATATGCCCTATAAAGTATCATTTTTGTTGTTGCTATGTGCCATGGAGTCGGTTCCGACTCATAGTGACCCTGTACAGGGTTTCTGAGGCTATAAATCTTTACAGGAGCAGAAAGCCTCCTCTTTCTCCCATGGAACAGCTGGTAGTTTCGAACTGCTGACCTTACGGTTCACAGCCCGATTCATAACCACTACGCTACCAGAGCTCCTTTGTATAGTATCATAGGTTTTCAGTATTGAATGGTATATCTGTCAGCCTAGGCAAATGAAATGCACAGTTAAACCCGTGAGAACCAGAACTCAACCCACCTGCTTTGTTTTGCTGGGTCTCAAGTTTTCACCTTTAACCAACCACCACTTTTGTTTCACAATCCATTTAGTGGGAAACAGTTTCATTTCCTTCTCTGATGTGTTTCTGCTGTAGACAGGTTCTGGCTTTTGCATGTGTTAATGTAATTACAACTATTTGTAATTACAGTAATCACTACATTTTGCCTATCTTCAACTGCTTTCCCCCGCAATTTCCTTCATTTTTCTTCATGTTCACCATAACCGGACACTTTTACTCTAAGGAAAGTGTGTCTCAAAGTCTAACCTTCAGATTAGATTAGCCCCAGCCTTACTGAAGTAAATGTTCAGGGTGAGGTGCTACAATGTGACCCAGGTGATCCTCGTACATAGCAGTATAAGAGAAACACTGGTCAGCGTTGAATTATAGTAGGTGCTTGGTGGTAACACATCCTACAGCTCCTGCTGAAATCTTTGACATTGTTTTTAATGGAAATAGTTCCAAGATGTCTTTACTTTAAAATAATATTATGTAACTCAAATAACACTCCTTGTTGTAGTTAAGTGTCTTTGAGTTGGTTCCAACCCTTAGCAATCCTGTTTGGGGTTTCCGAGGAGCAGCTCTTAAGTTTGAACTGCCAACCTTGTTGGTCAACCCAATCTTGCAGTCCAATGCTTATCCCTACAGCACCATACCAGGGTTCTAAGTTTAATTGAATAATTGGTATATAAAGATGTGAGTCCTGGTGTGGCACTGTTGGGTTAAGTACTGGACTGCTAAACTCAAGGTTGGCAGTTAAAAGGCACTTAACAATAACAAGAAAAAAAAGAAGATACAAGAAGTGTGTAAGGAATTCTACCAGTTGTAGGGGGAAATGGTGTGTGTGTGTGTG